CAAAGATGACAAGGAGAAAAATATCTTTCTTAATAGTTAAATTAACATTTGCTTCTCCCACATGTTTATTCATCCGACGTTCTACAATACATATTGTTGCTTTTCTCTGAAAAATTACTTTACTGCATAAAATTGTAATAACTTCGATTCGTCGAATTCGTTATTTTCATCAACTACCTACCTTCTTTTTTTCTTTTTACTGAGTGGCATAATATATATTTTTTATCATTTAGTGTGTATATTCTTGTTGAATAGAACTGTAACTTAGTGACTTGTTTATTCACTGTAAAAAGATGTTAACGATCCAAGAACTTCATTCGTTCTTTATAACCTTGCGTAAGTACATCATCACTTGATTGAATTAGGCATATTTCTTAGTTTGATTTAGTGATAATATTTCAAGTCAATACTAACAGTTCGTAGAAATATCCATGACTGATTTACAGACTAACGATCACAGCAACCAGTTTAGAATTATAAATTAAAATTTACAATTCATCACTGTCACATTGATCTGGTATCATTTTAAACGGTAAACGTATTTTAATTAGGAGAGCCTAATAAAGGTTCGACAGTATACCTCTTTTTTTTAATTTGTCAATATCCTTGTATAATTGAGATCGTAAGAAATTATTCATTATGTTTTATTTAAAATGTAATGCTGAAGGTGGCTGTTGAGTCGGCTTTCGTAGAACTTCAACGGAGCCTCCAGAGGCCCAAAAGGAGCCGAAGAGTCCTAGCCAATCAGAGCATGATGGAGCATTTTAGAATTCCAACGTGGCGTGTTACTATTGGTATGGTCATTAGCATAATATGTCGTTAACGGATTGGCAGAAATATGGTGTTGATTTAACAAACGCTAACATCTATAAATACCCATGATTTTCTGTACAAGAACGAACCTTGGAGTAAAGTATTTTCTCTCATACTTTGCGTTTTCTCTCTGGTGTTCAGGTCGCTGTGTAGTTCTAGGTTGCGGGTTACCAGGATAGCTTAGGAACGAATATAGCGTTCAATCGACAAGACTTATCAGTGTCAGTATCATCCATTAAATAAAGTGCGCCAGTTGTAGCAAGCATTATATTGACCAAAGTGGATTCCCCTATTATTTGTGTATAGATGAGCATAGATTATTAGTGTGAAGATATAACATATTTCATCAATATGCGTAGATAATTATGGAGAAGAATTTGATTGGGAAAATGTGGAAATTCTAATTCGAAAAAATAAGTATCGTAGAGGATTCTTAAGAGTTAATCTGAAATCACTAAGAAATATCGACGGTGACCTGACTTATCAATTTACACAGGTAGGGTAAGTTAGTCAGGTAGCAAGTTTCCAATTGGACATGACAGTCAGCAGGGACACAATGATGAATGAATAGTCAAATAGATCAATTCTATATGACATAATTCCCGACGATGTAGTTCAGAACGCCAATGAAGGCTTCACAATTCAACCACGCAGATAAAGGAACACATTCTAACCAAAATGTTAATACATTTAATATAACTAAGTAGCTACGTATAATTTTATATTCGGCTCAAATGAGTAGGTTTTTGTATAAGACTTAGATATATCACCCGATATATGGGGAAGGGAGTAAAAACGATGTGCAAATCGATAACTGACATTCAAATGAAGTCATGATCATTATTGATAGTCACTATGAAAGGTATCACGAACAGATAAACTGAAAGTATCTAATCACATTTAAGCTACTGAATAAACACGATAGAACAACTATCGATTATTAGTATCTTCTAAGGAATAATCATGTTTTATCAAACAAAAACTATTGTTAGTTATTGTATTCATTAGTGAAAAGTATAGTTCTTATTCTTAACCGAATTCATATGGAGAAGAATGTGATACGATGAAAATACTCTTGATGTTAGTGAAAGGGAAAAGACAAGAAAAAAACAGGTACACAGTAAACGTTAATCCCAAGAAAAAAAATTAGGTTTCTCATCACAGATATAAATATATATTTATTTAGATATATAATTTGTATATACAGAAAAACCTGAATGCTAGAATACATCAGTTACATTTTTTTTTAAAATGGTTGATCTAAAGTTGATCTAGATCGAATACTTTTCAGGCACTGAACGCAAACAATAAATAAAGTAAGCTTCACCATTTGATTTATATAATAAATTATTGTTGTGTATATGAATGCCTGTAATTTTGAGGGGAAAAAAATAAAATATAGTATAAATACTGACTTTGAAAATACGAGAGAAAAAATCATTTTATTTATGTAATTTATAAATAATTTAATAGTTTAATTCGTGAGTCAAGTGAAGGTAGACCATCGTGGAAAACCTGGAAGCACTGAACGGCCGTTTCATCCTAGTATGAAACTCCTCAGCAGTGCGCATCCATGATCCTGCCTCGCGAGATCAGAACCCAGGACCTATCAGTCTCGCACATGGGCGCTTAACCATTGGATCACTGAGCCGGCATCCAACGATGTTAATGTTTTCTAGCAATTTTATGCATTCAATAGGATTTTCCGATTATTTATTATTATAATTTAGGTATTTGTTTATTGTGAAATAGGAATGAAGAGTTTTTGAGAAGAATCAAAATAGAAAATGTCATAGATAGACAAATATGAAGAGATATGATAACAATTTAAAATAGTAGGTGTTATATCTAGAAGCTCAGTTTTTCATTATACCACGTACAACTAGAACACTCGAATGCCAGAACCCTCCAAGTCGTAAGTCAGAAAACAGAACACAAGTGATAGGAATGCTATTCCAAACAGTGTCACTTATGGTACAGAACTGTCAGGTATTTATAATTTTTAGTAAAAACCAAATCATCATCACAGTCCTCCAATCCGCATACAGGGGGTTATCAGCCAATAGGGGAGATATACACAGGGATTCTGGAATATTCTTCTAAAAAATGATTGGATAGAATATCTTTAACTCTTTCTGAACATCTTAGAACTTTATCAAGTTCACCTGTGGACCGTACTCACAGTAGGATTTCTGATTAAGGCCTTCATGGTGAAATATTGGATGATGTAACTCAAAATCGGTTACGATGTAGTATTTCTATTGGTTTTACATTATCTAGTAGCCTGCTTAGACCTACTGCCTGTTCTAGATTTATTTGAACTGAGAATGAATATAAATCATAAGTGCATTCACAGGGTATTACGAAAGCCTTAAAACCTATAGTGATGCGATATACTGGAAATCTCAAAATGAAATACTGCAAATATTGGTATATTCCCCGTGATAGTTCACCGTTTGTAAAAAAAAGACAAGAGATGAATGTATTGGAATTCGTGTACTGCTCAATATCTGATGGATGAAAAAAAGTTGTGACACCTGGACTGATAATAAAGTTTCGCTACTGGAGATGAATAGGAGTTACTGACTATTGGAAAAATATTTTTTATTATTTACATCTTCACATTGATTTGTTTATTCTGAACATGTATGAAGGATTAGCTGAATCATTAGAGTATATTTTCCATTCATTTTAATACAACTAATCCTAGCACATAAAAAGGTGTAGTCGAAAGCCGAGAATATGAACATTTGTGTGACTGTTGGGTTGCATGAAATTAAATTAACAGCAAGAATCACTCGTAACAGATTGTTGATTAACTGGATGAGAGATTCAGTAGGTGCTCAGCTATGAGATCAACAGACTGGATTCCGTAAGGATCGGTCGTACATAAACCAAATCGCAACACTATAGATAATCGTCGAACAGTCAGTTGAGTGGAAGTCATCACTATACATCAACTTCATTGATTATGAGGCGTTTGAAAGTGTGGATAGGAGAACCTTACGCAAGCTTCTTCGACACTATGGTATAGCTGAGAAGATCGTCAACATCACACGGAATTCATACAACGGACTACACTGGAAAGTCGTGCATAGAGGACAGCCGACAGACCCATTCCAAGTGAGGACCAGAGTCAAACAAGGCTGCCGATTCTCTCCATTCATCTTTCTTCTGGTGGTTGACTGGATTATGAAGACCTCGACATCTGAGGGAAAACATGGAATACAATGGACAGCTCGGAATCAATTAGAAGATTTGAACTTTGCAGATGGCCTGGCCTTTCTATCCAATACGCATCAACAAATGCAGATGAAGACAACTAGTGTATCAGTAGCCTCTGCATCAATAGGCTTCAACATACACACAGGAAACAGCAAGACCCTCAAGTAGAACACAGAGAACACCAACCCAATCACACTTGATGGAGAAACTCTGGATGTGGAATCTTTCATGTACCTGAGAAGCCTCATCGATGAACAAGAAGGTTCAGATGCAGATGTGAATGTAAGGATTAGTAAATTAAGGATGGCGTTCTTACAATTGAAGAACATATGGAACTCGGAAAAACTGTCAGTCAACATCAAAGTCGCGATCTTCAATACAAACGTCAAGACAGTTCTGCTGTACGCAGCTGAGACGTGGAGAACCATCATCAGAAAGGTACAAGTATTTATAATTAATTGTCTACGCAAGATATTTAATTTCTGTTAGCCAATACCATCACTAACAGCCTACTGTGGGAGAGAACAAACCAACTTCCAGGTAAAGAGGAAATTAGGAAAAAACGTTGAAAGTGGATAGGACATACATTGAGAAAATCATCAAACTGTGTCACGAGGCACACCCTAAATTGGAATCCTGAATGGAAACGGAAAAGAGGAAGGTCAAAGAACACTCTACGTCAGGAATAGGAAGCAGACATGGAAAGAATGAATAGTGACTAGAAAGGACTGGAAAGGATTACCCAGGATAAGGATGGATGGAGAGTGCAGGTTGGCGCCCTTCGCTTCTCGACGAGGGGTAACAGGCGTAAGTAAGTACGTGACCTTCAGATCAGAGTTGCAGTTCAATGAGATTCATTAAGTAAGTTGTTACGGTATCAGTTACATGCGGAGAATCTATGAATACCATCAAACTTTCTTTTAGAAAACAATAATATATCACTTACTTATTTCAGCATCATATCATTTATAGACAGTTGTTTTATTATTATTAGCAATTGCACCAACTGGTAGACGATAATGTGAGGGATATGGAACATGTTTCATTACTGCAGTATTGTTATTCATCATCGATGAAGTAACATTAATATTATTATTATTACTGCTACCACTTGAATGACCAGTGTGTACAGTTGATGAATAAATATTATTCCCTGACGAACGCATTAATGCTTGCCTTTTAGCAGGTGGCTCTGCTTTACTATTTATTCCATGATATTTGTTTGAATCGAATGATATTGAATGTGTTACATGATGAATTGGTAATTCACCTGTAGTTACATTACTGTTACTGTTACAATTAATATTATTCGTTGTTATTTTAGTTGTAGATGTGTTAATATTACTTCCAACTTGTTCATCACCAGTATTCCCATCAGCAGGGTATAAGTCTAAAATTTTATGACATATATCTTCCATAACCTAGATATGTTATTATTTTGAAGAAAAAAAAGATTTTTTTTTGAAAAGCCACAATATTTTATTATTAATTAAATAGGTTAATAGAAGAAAGTAATTTGGGAAAAACGAATTGTTCTTTAAATTGTCAAATGTTATTCTTTTATTTTTAGAAAAAATTTTCATTATGTACTGGGTCACATCACAGTGTTGAGATTTTTAACTAATACATCACGTTTTTGGGGGCAAATGTGATGTACTAGGTAAAAAAAACTTTGCCCCCCATATTCCCTGGTACGACCGAGAGTGGGGAGAGTCCACTCTCCCTCTCGAAATACCCTCACACGGCCACGCGTATATAGCCACTGCTAGGGAAGTCCTACTCACTGCCTTCTCATGGCGGGGGTGTTGTTTACGAAATTGAGAGGACGAAAACTGAATGTCCGGCGCTTTAACCGGGTTGGTGAACACGAATAGTCCACCTAGGGGAGTTGGAAAACTCTGATTCCAAACCAATGGTGCACATGGGCTCCAGTATACTGAGGGAACAAATGGCGTATGAGCCAACTTTCGGTCACCGGCTACCATGGGACTGCATATCCTTACGATGCTGCACTGCCTTGTGGATCAGACCTTTAGGTCAAAGGCTCCAGGTGTGGCCCCCTAAGAAAATCACCTGCTACGGTTTGGGCACCCGGGCAGTATCGCAGACCTCGCACAAATCAAGTGAGATTTGTGTGGCGCATATGTATTTGGTGTCTCCTTGTGCCAATATCTGTGTTCAAATAAAATAAATAAATAGCATCACATTTTATATAATGATGGACATACCATCTAAATACTACATGAAAAATAATTTTGTTGAACGGATTAGTAAAGGGTTATAAAGATTGTCAAACTTCACTGAACTCATTAAACGACCCAAGTTTAACTGAGATCGCTTAATGAGTTCAATGATACTTTATATTCTCTAAATTTCATACGATGCCCTTGTGTTTTCCTACTGGATACTACAGTCCGTGAAACTTCTTCGAGTGAGGCGGTTTGAACAATTGTTACATATCCTAATTTTCCACCTATCCCAAAATGCGATGTTAGCTGGAGTAGACAGAATTGTGGAGAAAACTACGAGAGGTCAAACCAAGAATAATATCAGTTCATGAAGTTGGTGACCGTTGGACTGAGTTATGTTGGTAGATCCAGACCACTTGATTGGGGTCCGCGCCACATCTACAATCAATGGTTGGAGACGTGTGTCGACGTAGCTCAAAATCGGTCGCAGTGAAGCAAATCTACTGACTCTTGCATTTCAGTATTTGTTTATATATATATTCTTTCCATCTCTTCTTCTAGAAATATATCCCTAACATTTGGTCTGTTTGACGAATATTCATATAACTATTATTTTAACTTGCTTTTTACTCTGAATTTTTATCTAGTTATGCTTATGTGTAGTGGCAACTTGGGATAATGTGCGTCTGTGCTGGCCCATATGTTTATTAAGGCTGACTGGTTACTGGAATTCTAGCCTCAGTAGGGACATCAGTGTTTAGATAAAAGTATATCGAATTGATGAGACCTAACTAGAGAAGAACACTTACATTAGATTTCACTGTTGGGTACTATCATGAGGCACATGTTCTAATTTAAACTGTATCTCCAAAAACCGTTCCCTCCTTTATGGATCTAGTCATCCTTAGAAAAAAATGTATTCAGTGGATATACATTTGAATTCATAAAGGGAACTAATTGCATGAAATTTGCATAAGTGTTGATATATTTGATAAGTCTTGAGAGTTGAACGCTATATTCGTTTCCTAAGCTATCCTGGTAACCCGCAACCTAGAACTACACAGCGACCTGAACACCAGAGAGAAAACGCAAAGTATGAGAGAAAATACTTTACTCCAAGGTTCGTTCTTGTACAGAAAATCATGGGTATTTATAGATGTTAGCGTTTGTTAAATCAACACCATATTTCTGCCAATCCGTTAACGACATATTATGCTAATGACCATACCAATAGTAACACGCCACGTTGGAATTCTAGAATGCTCCATCATGCTCTGATTGGCTAGGACTCTTCGGCTCCTTTTGGGCCTCTGGAGGCTCCGTTGAAGTTTTACGAAAGCCAACTCAACAATATTAATTTTTCTATTGAAATGATTTCGCATTAAACAATTATTATAATTTACACTAAAGATAATAATCCATCCATTGGTTTATACAAATACGAGGCTGATTTTAGTACAATTAACACAGATTATTCCCATAATGGTGAACATTATGCAAACTTTATTGGCTTTAAACTCCTAGCCCAATATTCAACGTCACTGTGTAAACTGTAGAACAGTCACAAATAAGGGATAACATAGCTATGTGATATTCTTTCATAACTTAAATTAGAGTAAATTATTAATTAGGGACATTTTTATGTATTCGATTTTGTGATACACTATTAGTCAAGAGCCAGTAATATCACTTGCCTGTTCAAACTGACTCATATGTTCTGCAGTGGGTGTCAGTTTTTGACCCGAGTAAAAAGCACACAAAACTGAAACTGCTAAAAACGTAATAACATCAGTGGTAAGTGAACTTACTTCAGTACTCATACCTTCAACAAAACATTCCCACCAACGTTGACCTGGTTGACGACCTTCCCAATCTTCTATTGTAAATTTACTCATACGTGTGGCTAGATAAAGGACAGCGCATGCAACTATTTCTGGTTCCCACTGTAAACATAGTGTTGTTGCTAAACTATCATTAATAAATGACCATGACATCTGAACTAATTCTTTCAGTTTCTCTTGGTTGCCTACAATAAAGACAAAAAGTAGAGGTAGAGGTTATCTAAATCATAACATCGTTCATACTGAAGTTAGAATCTATCTCAAACTGGCCACACAGTCAGTCATAATAAACATAGGGGCCAGCACAAACGCACATTATCCCAAGTTACCAGAACATACACGCATAACTAGGTGAAAAAAATTCAGTGAATAAAAGGCTGCGTCGTCAAACATCTCTAATCGTTGATTGTAGGTGCGGCACGGACCCCAATCAAGTAGTTTGGATCTACCAACATGACTCAGTCCAACTATTACTTTTTAAGCATAAAAATGGTATAGGGATCACATAGTGGTTGGAATCGATCTGAAATAAATTACCAACACTAAATTTTATCTACTCCTAACCATCAAATAGTCAAGGTTTATGTCCAAATATTTTTATTGGGGATGTGGAATACCTTGATAAAACTTCTAAGTAAGAAAATTCGTATCGATTTACAGCGAGTTTAAGTAAACTTTCAACAAATTTTCGTGACTTTATGGACTTTTAATGCAGTTTCACTATGATTAGTGCTGTTGTTAATTACTCAGTTCGTGAAATGTAGTCATTATAATTAATATATAACTGATCGACTTAATCGTATTTTTAACTCTACAAAGCTTATATTACGAAACTGGACTGCTTACTTTAGTTAACGGGATAGCATGGAAGAGAATAGTAGTAGTCGCCTTTACCGAAGTGAATTCGGGATTGCGAAATGGTAGCTAAGCGCACAAACTCATCATCTTTAGTGAAACTGTTGCACTGTGTTGCTTAATGTTGTTTTAAAAAACTTCATCACTCAAGTCTTCAGACTGTAAGCCATGATCCAAAGGACTCAACTAGATGTATTAATTAGTCACGGCTTATCATTTTGTCTAGTCCCTAATATAGACTAAATCCAGTAGAATTTTCGACAGGATGAGACACCTAGAAAAAAAATGTCGATATATATAGGAAACTTGAACTTATCGGGTTTTGATATACACTGCCCAGACGCTTGTATTAAGAAAAGCAGGGGGATCTTTCTGACACAACCGTCTCTTCAGAAAAAGCATCGTCTAAATAAGTGATGGATAGGCTTTTTTACTAATTGATTGTAAAAGTCAATTCACTAGTTCATATGAAAATTTATGCAGATAAATTAGACCACGTAATTGAAGAGCACTATTCTGATTAAACCTAATTACAGGATTATGTGCTGGACTTTGAGGCATAATTTAAGTGTGATTGTTTCCGAAAACCATGATGAATAAAACGAAATCCAAAGGTATGGTCAAGTGATTGGAACTTAAATTCTTCAGGAATGAGGGTAGTGCTCCTATGACAATTATATGTATAAACAATTAAAAAGAAGACAGTTTATCATTATAGTATATTCCACGAAAACAGCTAAAACATTGATTTTATCTTTTAGGGTAACGACAAAGTTTCTTGGCATTGCACAATAAAACAAACTAATCGCTACCACTGATTTGGCGAGGGACACTTAAACTAAGTAGAATAGCTAAAAAGGAATAACAATAAGTGTGTCTGTGTTCCTGCCTTAATTACTTCAGTTTTGGTAGCTGAATGTTATCAGTAACCTTTACACAAAAATATATGAGCATTTACTTGACTATCGAGTTACAATAATTTATTGCTCCTGTACCCTGGAAAATAATGAAGACTAATATTTATATATTATTGGATGAGTATTGAACACTGACCTTTAATTCTTTTTGCGAATTGAAGTAAATAGGAATATGGATGTGAAACTTGCAAGTCAAATTTAATCGTTTTTAGTAGAACTCGTTCGAATGCCATTACTTCTTCCTAAAAATAATAGGATAAGTGAGGGCAGAGGAATTTTTAAAAAAATTTAAAGAAATAAAAATACTACATACCCTAGGATCATTTCCAAATTGTTCGAAATCTGCATCAGACAGTAATGACCTAGCAGTTTTAACAATATCACGAACTTTTTTTGGTGTTTCTTCCACTTTTCCAGCTAACATTAAACAACAAGCAGCTGTTACCTACAAAAGGATATCCATAAACAATAAAGCCTGACATGTAGACCTACATAACGTGGAAATGCCTTAAATGAATGGAACATGTAAAATCGATGGAAGAATACAATCGCTGTGGCACATGTATCATATCGAAGATTTAATTTGGTACTAACAGCTGATAAAAATCTGGCACCTTCTCTACGATGACGTGTCTCTGTTTCATGGTCAATTTGATCATAATATGATGGTGTTTTATATAATTCTTCTCTTTCATAGTACCAACACGGCATTTGTTGCTGTGAAATAAATGAATACTGTTATGAATTAACATTGTACTTGCTTGATCGTCCATGTTTAAGTTGTTTGTTTGTTCAATTTTCAGGCAAAGAATATGTCTAAAGTAACAAACGTAGATAAGAGAAAATGTTATCAATATCGATAACACACAATAACTTGATAGACAACCCAACAACCTTATCCAAGATTATGTTAAGTTTGCAGTAACCCAATTTGTATGCCTTTGGAAACTTTACTAAACTGTTGAAAGTTTCTAAGTCAATAGACTGCTAGGAGGGAGCAAACATGCATATGCGCCACACGATAACGAGGCCAGTAGCAGTTATCATTGAATTGTGTGAGGGCTGTGATACTGCCTGGGCACCCAAACCGAAACGGGTGGTTTTCTTAGGGAGCCACACCTGGAGCCTTGGCTTAGAGGTCTAATCCACAATGCAGTGGAGCAACGTCAGGAGATGCAGTCCCAACAATGGGTTCATATGCCATTTGTGCCCTCAGTACACTGGAGCCCATGTGCACCATTGGTTTAGAATCAGGGTTTTCCAAGTCCCCTAGGTGAATCTTCCGCATCCACCAACCCGGCTAAAGCACCAGACATTCGCTTTTCGTTCTCTTAGTTTCGTAAACAACAGTAATGCCGCGAGGCAATGAGTAGGACTTCCCTGGCAGTAGTTGTATACACATGTCCATGTGAGGGCATTTCGAGGGAGAGAGCGAACTCTCCCCACTCTCGGCTGTACCAGGGTATTTGGGAGAGTCCATGAATCTGCTGTTGGTATGTAGATTAGATGTCTCGCAGACACTTCATATAAAACCCTTTGCATGTTCGTTGGTTTGACGTTCCTTTTCAAAGAGAAGTTTATGTACTAAAGATGTTTACCCCGACCGTTGCTGCTACCTTGAAGTGGTGGTCGAGCTTGCCTATCGTTATCCACCAATCGAGATATACTGGCTGGAATAATTGTTCCTCAAGGTCTTACCAAGCCAGACAGGTCGGTTGAAGAGCGGCAAGACTAAAAACACAAAACCCAAGGTTCGAGGGCAAAGTCGTGCTGCTGACCGCATAGAGGTGTGACGACAGTATTGTATTTTCTCCAGACAACCAGCATAACAGCGATACCGCCTTCCCACAAGGAAGGATGGTGTTAGAAAAGGTCAACCCTAAAAATACACACCTCGCCTTATCCCACAGATTTCCGTCTCTCGTTGTAAGGTTTCAACATGTAAGGAGCTAACACGGAAACCACGAACGAAAAAATTGTGTGACCGGCCTCAAGCAGCTGTCCCTTGGGTACTGCGGTCACGCTCTCAGTCACTAAGACTACCTATAACCCAATTTCGTTTTCACGTACCTCTATAGGAACCCTTCCACTGTGTGGGCAACCGGAAAGTGATAACCACCATCATACCTCTAACATCACTCAACACCACTGTATTCATAGTCAATTGCCTTCTTTAATTCCTAATATTCCTCCTACCTCGACTTTCAACTCTAAACTTCCTCTTTAGACTTCCCCCTCAAGTGTCACCATAGTCTACGATTCCAGTGAGCAAAATACTGTCCTAGGTCTACTGAAACCTCTCTCCAAACTACTCATTGGAGCCTTCAACGCACGCACCTTATGTCAAATCAGCCAGCAGGCGTCCTTGACTAAAACCCTAGAATCTCGTACAATTGATATATGCTATGCCTCCAACACATGCATACGGGATCCTAGTGTGATCATTCACTTGATCTCACCTCGCCAAAACGGGGAGCGGACGAGATACACTTTCCGTTTTTCTGATGACCCGATGACTAGTTCTCGTGGACTGGTGGGTGTAGGCATAGCACCGAATATGAAGACAGAATAAGCACTTTTAGAATGGATCTCCGTTAACAGTCGCCTGTGTGGTTCGGCTAAACGGCTCTGTAAAAACTCGGAAGAATAGGGACACACGTCGTTGCCTTTTCGTCGTTATTGCCTACTCACCCATTGACTGCAGCTCGGATGAAATGAAAGATGAATTTTACAGAAAGCTTTCTGAACTTCTTCGAAAGCTAAATACTCAGACAGTACTCGTAGCAGGTGAATTTAATGCGCAGGTAGGTAGCTTAGACTAAACAGAAAGACATTTAGGTGGGTATTTCGATATTCCGGCTCAGCGAGCAGATAATAGTGGCCGTCTGTTGCAACTGTGCTCTAACAGTCGTTTCTTTTAGCAAGCACTAATTTTAAGCATAAGGAGAGACATCGTTTGATATGGCGACTCCGTGTACTCAAATAGACTATATTACCATCAGTCATCGTTGAAGAGGCTCGATAGAAAACTGCAACTCATTTTGGAGCACATATTAGGACTCTGACCATCCTCTAATACGAGCACGCATTTGCTTGCGCCTAACTAGGCGCAGAATAAACACATTAGAACGACCTATTAGAGTTGAATTCAGTGAAGAGAAAGCCAAAAGTATACGTGATGAAACTGACCTAACTAAATGTCGTTATGGAAAAAGTATAATACATTGACAAAATAGAGGAGCTTACCTTACATTCAGAATATGTTTCTCAGTTATATAACAGCTAACAAGACGACATATTGATATAACAGTGGAATGACAGCTCTAATTATAATAATTAAGAGTTGAATTCATGAGTCAATTTAAGCTAGAACACCATGAAAAGCTGGGAAGCACTGAACGACTGTTTTTTCCTAGTACGGCAATCCACGGCGGCGTGGAACTCGAGATCAGCATCTTCGGCCTTGCACGTGAACGCTTAACCTCTAGAGCACTGAGCCGGCAACCAACGGTGTTAATGTCTAACTTCAACCAATCCACAATATTTGGCGACCGTCTACCATATGTTTCAGTGAGGGATCGTGGATGCACACTGTTAAGGAGTTCCATACTAGGACAAAACGGTCGATCATTCTCATAATAATAAACACTCGCACGTAAAATTATCCCTTCTACTAAAGAAAAATGGGTGAGTCCACATACAGACATGACAGGTGTCCGGCCAGTATTGTGAATTAAGGTTATCACTATTACTTTTGTCAGCATCTGACATCACTTGTGATGCAAAAGGGTTGCGGCTATGAATTAGGATTAAAACTGGAGTTTTGAGTAGTTCACAAACTTTTTGTCAGGGTTTTCAACACGAACTAACAATGAACTGCCTTGCCACCTTTCTGACAACGTACTTGAGAAGTTAAAAGTTCAGATCCCTAGTGAGAGTACGTAAGGGAGATTATCAAGCTTCACTAAACACTCTTGATTGCATGATTATTGCCACTCAGTACTCATAAAAAATCAGCCCTAAAAGCAATTGTCACATAACCTAGCTTAGGCTACATATAAAATCCATTTTGTCGTTGTATGGACGGTATTTACATTGATTTCCAATAATTTAAAAGCTACTTTTTGCCAGCTAAATGATGGCGCGCACTCTATCAATAAGTGCACTTAGAAATTTGCGCAAAACAATTGAGGTTAACTCAAGGCTATCAGTATATTATACTTTTACCGTATATATATAGGATTCCAGTGTGGAGCAGGCTACTGATTTGCACAGATTGAATGATTTAGGCCTCCATACATTTAAGCATTTCGAGTATAAGAAATAGCAGAGCTCATAAATTTTATGTGATTTGCACAACTTTATATTTTTCTTCAACCGCCTCACTTCACAATTTACCCCAGTAACGCAGGATATGAAACGCCCTCTCCATAATAAATGACTCAGACAAACAAAAGGGTTACCTTTATTTTGATAACTTCCCTAACAAATCATTTCAAAATATGTATGTGACTTTTGGATTTTCAAAGACTTTGTTAGGAAATTTTATCAAAATTCACCCAACCCTGATTTGTATGTGTGTAAATATAAATAGAGTTGTTTGTGTTTATTTGTCAATACGCTTTCTGAAGTATGCTGTTAATCATCCATTGTTTTATGTTGCTCAGCTTTATTCAGTTGCATGCACTTCCTTATGATTATTATTCTCATCCTGAACACTTCGTTATGGGAAGCTATAAATTCGAGCCCAATCAAAGAACACAGAATTGTTGTGGTTCGGAAAATGACGATATTTTTTATCCTGAGGAATATATAACAAATTCGAAAAGACTTGACCCTAGAATCGGCGAAAAGCGAAAGAAAATTGGGCCAGGATTCTATTTTGGCTGAAATTACTTGAGAATGTACGTTCATATATTTGAACATACAGTAATCATCCAAATATATGTTATTATTTAGCTAACATATAGTTTTAATTTTGTTATGTCTTCTGGCTTTCCGAGAATACGATATAATTTATTTAGCTTATAATGTTTCTGTCTCCTCCTAACCACACAGCATTTTCTCATTTATTTAAGAATGTTTCGACCCACGGCTATATAATTCCCAGCATTCTAGTAGAATAAAAATTTATGTTATTAACAGGAAGATTCATTTTAAAGTTTTGTTGTTGTTTTGCTAATAAAAACATGACTAGATGTGCGCCATCCAAATGATTACTCAGTTTATTTAAAAAATAAATTTACAGAGCTGTATGGCAGATAATACTTCTGACGTTTAGTTAGGGTCCCTCTGAGGCTATCATAGTTAACTACATGGTTCGACTTGATATGACTTTATTAATACAAGAACTTTAGACAATTCTCACTAGGTTTTTCTTCAGTAACTGTAGCAGCATTGGTTAAGGAAGAAGTATTCTTCAAGGTGAAAAAATACAATTAAAGTGAGAGTCCTATTTGAAGTTTTCTGAGTTTCTCCTTCTCTTTCCGACTATTATTATTGTCACAATAGACTCCTAAAAATATGGTACTTTCCAATACGTCAGATAACTACTCTTCTGTTTAATATATCATGAAAAATGTGTCTTACATTTACAGTTATATTTATATAATTCGTTTTAAGATTTCTATGTTTTACAACAGTTAATACCAGTTGATTATTTCTTCAACATCAATAGAGAATAAGAAGAAAATCTAATCAAAGGTACAAATAGACAACAATAGTTTCATTATGACAATATTCACTGACGATTGAAGTTTAACGATCGATATATAAATTGTAAAGAGAAGTTATAAAACTAAGCCTAACTTTGTTTCCTAGCAGATAATCAAACTTCAAGTACAGTCATTTTAGAAAGTTTTTTCATAAATTAGACATCCAATAAGTCAGTGTAAAATAAACGTGATTAAATGTTTCTTTTTTTGAAAAAAAATAGTAAGTGAATAACGCTACGACGTTCGAAGTGAACGGTACTGAGTTCAAATCCCGGGATGAACATCAACTCTGAGATGCAGGTACATCCAGCTGACGAGTCCCAAATAAGACATAACGCGCGTCCTGAATTCTACTGCTAGCCATTATCTATCTTCGTTCATAAAGCTTGTAACCTAAGGCAATATCGAGGCAATCCGCACAGGATACATATATGCCAACATGAGATTGATCAATTGCATTCCTAAATAACAATGGAAATATACAATTAAACAACACCAACTGAATTTAGAAAATAATAAGATTTCAAAAATATTTTTAGAATTCCCTGAGACTATATTACTGGTAACTTGAAATCTATTGCCAGAATGTTATTCTTTCTTTATTTGACTGAATTCTACAAATATGATAGGATTCATAAGAATTCCTCGTTATGTTAAAATTGTTATACTTAATAATATTTTTTGCAGAAAAATATCCTGTTTTCATGTTCTTTGCAACAATATTTAAATAGAAGTTCAAGAGTTGACTGTAGATTTATCAAGTATTTTTATTGTCATACTTGTCATAATTGTATACGAAATAAATATAATTGTAATTTTTGATAGTTGAGATCGCGAGTCAACTGAAGCTAGACCACCGTAGCAAACTGGGAAGCACTGGACGCTCGTTTCGTCCTATTGTGGGACTCCTCAACAGCGCGCACCCACGACCCCGTCTCATGAGATTCGAACCCAGCACCTATCGATCACGCACGCGAACGCTTAACCTCTAAACTACTTCTTGAAAGAAGCAACACTGATCTATGAATAACTAATCTACGGCACCACTCAAGATCTATTGATATCATGCTATTATCTAGATATTTTTACCATAATCAGGTATGATAAGGTTTTCAGGATGCAACTGAATTCATTGTTAGGCTCTTTTTCGTTGTCTTTGTTGCTGATCACTTTTTTCAAGTTTTTTTCAGATTAAATATGTAGTTATTAGGAGAAGGTAACAAAATATGCAGAACTCGTTATAAAAGAGACTAGCTGAATGAAACACAATAGGCTCCTAATTTTTGTTGTTGTTGTTGTTGTTGTTATCTTCCATACACTGTGTGTTTATGCAAAGTTTAAAACTGTTTCAACTAATCAACTGTATCAAAGTTATTATTTTCAACAATTATAGATTGACAAGAAAGCACATAAAGAAAAACAACTACAATGGAATTCCTTAATGAGATTTCTCAGTTTGTTGTGTTATTTTTATCCCTCTGATTAGAAATCCTTAAGAAACTGACATTCATTTGAGTTTTCTTCATTTTTCATTAGTTGAGAGCATGAGTCATTTGGAGCTAGACAACCATGGAAAACCTGGAAGCACTGAAAGGCTGCTTCGTCCTGGTATGGGCTCCTCAGCAATTCGCATCCACGATCCCACTCGCAAAACTCAAATCCAGGACCTATCAGTCTCGCGCGCGAGCGCTTAACCACTAGACCACTGAGCTGGCATCGGACGGTGTTAATGTCTAACTTTAACTAATCCACGAAATTGAGAGACACATCCACCATTGTCATCAGTGAGTTACTATCTCACAACAGACTCGGTCGAACTTCTTCATTTCATATATCTCTCTTATTTGAGAAAAGTAAGCTACATAAGCCGAATCAGTCCAACCGCATAATTGATGGTATTGAGTGACAGAGATAGTTATTGTTTTGTTTGTTTGCAAAATTTTCTTTTCTAAATAGAAATTGATACTGCTTTACATAGAACATTTTCATTCATTCATATATGAGACAAAATGTCTTAAACCAATAAGTTAGGTTAAACACAAAGACTAAATCGGATTGACAGGTTTAAAGTAATACCTAATAAGAAATCGCTTTAACTGTCGTCATTTCAAAACTTATGTATATTTTTCAGTTTTTTGAGTTGCGCACATTTGTTGCGTTGCCACTGTTTCACTACCATTTGCTTTATATGTTGGCATATGATTTCAAAATCAATTGAATACTGTGTTGTATATATTTACGTAAAACAAGTTCAACTTGAAATGTTTTGTGAAATGTTGCATAAAAATATTAATCTCACGAGGCGGGATCGTGGATGCGCACTGCAGAGGAGTTCCATACTAGGACGAAACGGCCATTCAGTGCTTCCAGGTTTTCCATGATGATCTAGCTTCAATTGACTCATGGATTCAACAATTAAATTACAAAGGAAAAAGATGAAAATTTTTACATTAATATGAATTCAAAGAAAAACTTTATATTAATAAGTTATCAAGGTAAATGAATACGAATTAATCCATGTCAGGTAGAAACAGGTATCTGCTGATAATTGCGATGTGCTCACTAGTGACCAGCTTCGTGTGAAAATTCTCGGAGTTCTAGTGTGTAGTCGTGACCAGTGGGGCTAATCCGTGTCAGCTAGAGACAGGTATCTACCTCAGTACAATGGAAGATGGTCGCGCAATTTCGTGTATTGGTTGGGGTTTGACATTAACCCCATTGGATGCCGGTTTAGTAGTCTAGAGGTTAAACGTTCGCGCGCGAGACTGGAGGCCCTGGGTTCTAATCCCGTGTGCAGGATCGTGGATAAGCGCCGCACAATAGAGCGAAACAGACGTCCAGTGATTCCAGGTTTTCCATGGTGGTCTTACATCAGTCGGTTCATGATCTCATTCACAAACCTAATCTCCACAACCCTATACTGACAATAACCGTATGTTTTTTTACAAATTTTATTTTATCTATTCAATGACTGATAAATTTGGAAGAAATTTACTTGAAGAGATAGTATTCTGTTTTATAAGCTTTACCAAAATATGATTAAACATAATAAAGTTGAAAATTTATGATACAATCCTAGAAATTTGTAGTAGACTTGTTCAGTTAATGCTAATCCAATATTGTGAGCAATAGAAAGAATATATGATGGATCTGAATTCATGACACAGGGATTATAAGTTGAAAGTAGGAAAGAAACTTGTCTGAATTCGTACTCATTGCTAAGGTTATATCATACGTTTAGTAGGTAAATCTAACCTTGTCTTTATATGAATAATTCGAAATCTTATTTTAATCAAATAGCTTTGTGTTTCATGCTTAAGTGTACTGCGTAAACATAGATATACCATGCTATTCGTGAAAGAGGAATTTTCATCTATTATTCATGGAAGTTACACACCGAATTAAGATACAATGTTGGCAGACGAATTGTAATTACTTTAATAACGGATCGTCGATTTATGTTTTAAAGTGGATACATATATATATGGTGAATTAACATACTGGTTTAATTATAAAGTAAATGTTAAATTATGCTTCATTACGAACTAGATAAAGCTGATGGAGAACAGAAAACTGGATAGAATTAGCGTAAAACGTTTATAGTTTACATCCACTCTATAATCTTTAGGTCTTGAAATTAGTATAATTTCGTTTATTCATTGAATTTGTATTAAATGGTTTTTAACTTTAAGTAGTTTGAAATATATCACAACCCAAATTCAATACTAGCGAGGAACTACCACATTTACAACAAGAGTGATTTCAGAGATCACTGTCTTCTACGTTCAAAAGATTCTCAGTTCGATTTATTGTTGAATCGTTGGTATATTAATCAGTTAGCCAGCCACATCGTAGAACCAGGCACATATATGCATTGATACACGTCCCTACACTTCATTAGCACAACAAGACGAACACCAAATTCATAGAAATAGTCAATTCAGTGGTAATAATGTATAAAAGAAAGATTATGTATAAGGATATAATACAGGAAGAAAGAGTTAGTTCGTAGAAAGAAAGGTATAAAGCAGTTTTAGTCTCATAGTTTAAGGGAAGACAATGAGTGTATACATCTACACCATTGTGATCGATTCTGAGCCATGTCACCAAGAGTCTCCAACCATTGGTTACGATAGTCACGTGCACCCCAACCAAGTAGTCTGCATCTACCAACATGGCTTAGACTAGAAGTCAATGAGT